GTGGCTTTTGCCCAAACCTTCCAAAAAAAAAAAAAAAAAAACAGAACAAAAGCGGAACGAAAGCCGTTGTAGTTACGTACTTCATTTAATCCGGGTCCCGAGAACCCAAGGGATCGTCTAACCTCACTTTTTCAGTAGGTATGCCTCTTGTGATTTATTTTTGGTTAACGACGACATATAAATTACTTTAGAAAAAAAATAAGGCTGTCTTGCAAAATCGTCCCAGCTCTGGTTCGCACACCTCGACGTTATGAATCAATGCAAATGTCCCAACCTTCCTGGGTTCAATCAAAGATCCTTTCTGTGTGTTCTTGACACTTTCTCCTCCCTGCTCACCTGGTCTCAGAAAACAGAGGACATTTTCAGGGACACCTGAAATCCCTAACGCAGCGAAAAGCCTGTTACAGAAGCGAGGCCCCCCTTTTTGGTTAACACACAGCCCCCCCGTGAAGTCCAGATGATGACACACTGGAATGTCATTCCGAAAACGTGAGTCATGTTTTATGTGCCATGTTTTCACGTGTCTCTCCCCTTCCACTTCATGAAGGCAAGAGCTTTATCTCCTGCAAAGCGTCAGCACATGTAGAAGGACACCAGGATCCTAGGACAGAGAGCCATAAGTCGCCCTTTGGAGGACTGATGGTATGAACCAAAGGCATGTGATTGATTGCGAGTTCCCTCTTAGAGCCAGTGTTACCAAAGTCGTGTTATCTTGAAAGCATTACAGGAAAAGGCATGTTATGGTTATTTATCACTGTTTAACGAATCGTAGCGGCATTAAGGGACTATGTATATGATTAGGGTAAGATAGAATGTACCATGTATATAGCTAGCCGAGTCTTTGGTGTATTCAGATAGGCAGCAGGTGGAAAGACAGAAGCACTGTCCCGCCATCTTCCACGCACGCTCCTCTACGACACCGTCGGAAGCCGTCCTAACGGACCGAGCCCTCGAGCAGATGTCATGTTTGCCGTTTTCCAGGAATGACGGCGGTGGCTGAGTTGTCGCAGAAAATGGCCTTCTGTGCTTTCCAAAAAAAAAAAAAAAAAAGGAAAAAAGGAAAGAAAAAAAAAAACCTGAAAAATTGAACTTGAGTTACATTGAATTTAAACTAAGTATCTTATAAATGCATTTTTGAGAAATGCTCAGAATCATTTAGTCGGTTGTGAAATCTGTCATTGATACTGTCAGGTAAGATGTAGTCTCTTCCCACTGTTTGATTTTCTACTCAGTTCTACCAAATAGGATGTCAAGTTGGGCATTTCAGTAACGACTTGGGGATTTTTTTTTTTCTTTTCTTTTCACTGAAAGCACCTTAGAACTGTACTATAAGAAAACATTTCCTGTGTGTATAATTCTAGAAATGTGATGTCTGCTGCTTATTAATTTATATTGGGTTGTCGGTAAAGTCATGACGCATTTTTGCATAGGAAAAAAAAAAAGAAATTTACATCAGGACTTTCCTGACCACCTAATCATTCAGTCATTCTCTCTTTAGGACTTTTTTTTTTTTTTAAAGGTAGAAGGAAAAATCTAGCTCTTTTTAATTGTCTATTAAGTTTATGAGGCCCCAGTCAACTTCTGAAAAAAGTTTCTTTGGGAAGCTTCCCAGTTTTGTGTTTTTTTTTTTTTTTTTAGTTAGGTAGAGTTTTAAAAGTATTTGAGCCTGTCTGTGATGAAGTTTTACAATTCAATAAGAGTTTTAGAATGTTCAACTGAAACACTGTTTCCTAACGTCAGAGAACTAGGGCTTTGAATTCAAACTTTGATATTTATTGAGTTGCCTACCAGGTGCCTGACAATGGATTTCTCTAAAACAGACCTACACCCCTGCCTCCTGGGGGGGGCTCCCTTCTGGGAGGAAAGTTCATTGTACCTGTTTACTAAGTTCTATCTGAAAGATAGGCTAGACTTGATCATTCCTAGACTGTTTAAAAGCAAACCTTTTCATTAAATTCCTGTTAGTGTGTCACAGGTAAGAATGGCTCGCAGTCTGGACTCGGTCCCAGCCTACGGATCTGAAAACGCGTTTATTGGCAGAGGTGCGTTGGCAAACAGTTCAATTATCTCTAGACGTGAACTTAGAAACTAACCAGCCATCCTTTGGGACCATAGTATGTGACAGTAGGCACTTCAGTAGGAGCCTGGGTACACACTAATGTTTTTACTTGTTGGTACAAACTGGAATAAAAGGATAGTTTGAGTCTGATCGGTTCCACTATCTGTTACTAAAACACGCGCTATGGACACTCCAGGAAATACGATATTTTCCCCCTAATATATGTAGTGGTACGTGAAGGTGTAGGTGACATCTCATACTTGGATGCTGACGTACATTCACTGTATTTCTCAGTAAGCATATTTTGGGGGAACAGTGCTGCTAAGATTTAATAAAAAAAATAGTCAATATTTAAGTGAAACGTTGACACATTCTATGGAAAATGGCTTCTAGTAAACTGAGAAGGATGTTAAGATGAGTGGCTTTTTTCCTGGGCCCCCTGGTTGTTTGATTTCTCTGTCATGTGTTTAGAACCTGTCCCATAGTCATGATAAGTAGCATTGAGAAGTTAACTTGTTCCAATTCCCCTTGGGCACTAGTGGCAAACCATTGCCACTTAGGATGAGTGAGGTCAGTGACAGGTCGTCTTTCCCACTACAGACCTCCCCTGCTGGACACGGGGAGCTGGCGTCACCTGACCGTCCAGAAACACACCAACACGAAGCCTTTATGACTGTTTGCCATTAAAAAAATAGTCTTTAGTATTTTGATCACTCTTTAGTCCCCAGAACTAAACAAGTCCTCAAGGTTCCTAATTTTCGTTGACTGTTTGGGTAGATTGGACACAGATCCATGCGATGAGACTGCTTGTTTCCATTACTAAGTATACAGGGTATGTCCTAACACAGTTAACTGGAGTTAACTAGCAGGTTTCTGTGGGTCCTTAACACTGAAGGGTAACATACACGCTTTGGTAATACCTACTGGGTTTGTCGGAGGAAATAGCAAAGAAATATCAGTTAATCTGCAGTCTTTCAAACGGGAACAAACAATCTTTTTTTGGACATCTGGACTCCATAGTATCCTCCGTTCACCAGCTGCTGGAAAGGTTGAAAAGTCTTTCAGAAAAGACATTTCCAAGTAGGATACCATCGAAGCGATGCGATGCACGTATGACCTAGTTTTGCTTAAAACCGAAAGTCTGTTGCTTTCTGTAAATGTTGCAGGGTTTTAAACTTGACAATTCTTTTAATATTTTTGATAACTGGGAATCTAGTATGGCCATAAAGGAAACTAAGTGCCCATTAAAGATTTGTTTTGGTAATAAATAAATAATTATTTGCTTTGTTTTAAATGACAGTAAGCTACAAATCATGATGCTAATTTAAAAAAAAAAAAACTTGCTAAAGATGAATTGTGTGGTGGTGACTGTGTGGTCTGTTTGTGGAGAATGTATGAAAAGCTATTCATTAATATTCTAGAGTAGGTTAATAAATTGGCTATGTGGTCCCAATGAATGTATAGCACTTCCATTAACTTTCGAAAGCAACACAGCCTTAAACTCAACGCTTTTGCTTTATGACCTGGGAATGTTTTTGCCATCAAGAGTGTATTCTTGTAAGAGGATTCTTTACCGCATTCTCACTTCTATAGCCTTTCAATCTTAGGGATGAGTATGAAGGTTTTTTGCTTCCTTTTCTTCTTCTTTTTAGATGTTGTACATTCCATCTGTGTAGGTCTGCTTCCTGTGCTGCGTGTACAGAACGCGGAACCTTGCGCCCCTGCCATTGGTGTTGCTAGGTTTTCGTCCTTTGTTCTTTAACCAATCAAAACGCTGACTGCCTATTTAAAGAAAAGAATGAACGCTGTGCATCGAAGGGTTTGTCCGTTCATAGCTACGTCTGTATCACTGTATTTTGGATGCTTTAGTCTACAATGAAACTTTAAATGAATTGTCTTGAAACATAGGAGAAACAAGAGTCACAGTGTATATTTCCACCATGCGCAAAAGCTGAACTCGTTACAATAAAGCTTGTTTTCTCCATTTCCAGGGGGAATGTTTGCTTCTTTTACATATTGTTTGCCATTGAAAGGAGATAGGGGGATGTTCTAGAATACGTGGAAGATCGCAATACCTTAACCAAACTCTTCATACTGGGGAGAAAAAGCTTGGTGTGGCTTAGGATAATGATCATTTTGTTACCTTTTTTTTTTTTTTTTTTTTTAGAGAATGATTTCATTTTATTATTTTTCATTTGTTATAGGGCATGTGTGCTCATGAGAGAGGAGAAAAATGAGAAAGCAAGCCACTGGATCCATGACTTGAACCGTGGTCGGCCATGTGGGAGTCCAGTGCCTTACCCACCACACCACGTGTTGGCCCCTACTTGTTACCATTTAAGTTGTGTCTTCACAGGATTTAGCAAATCCTGACACGTGTACATTTAGAAAGTTTGGGGGCCAGCAGGTGACCTAGTGGTGACATGAGCTGGATGCGCAGTTCAAGTCCAGGACCCAGCTGCTCGAAAAGCATGCCAGGCACATGTGTGTGCATGCTCAAAAAATTCCGAAAGGAAGGAGAAACGGAGAAGGGATTTCAGTAGCTCATTCCCCATGGCGGTGTGTGTGGGGGGGCAGGGGTTGCTTTTTCTGTTTTTATTTTTTTCTCTCTCTGGTGAATGCACCCACCCTCTGGGAAAATTTCAAAAAGGAAGAAAGTTGTGAAAGTAAACACTGCTATCATTATGGGGCCGGATAGTGGAGTGGTAAGCGTGATGCCCTGCGAGGCTGACCAGCGTGGCCGTGGTTCTTTGGTCACGTCTGCAGACCTCTCTGGGTACACCGGGCACATGTGTGCTTGTGCTCCAGGGCTGACTGAGGCTAGGGTGGGTCGCAGCATCGAGACTCTTTCGGAGGTGCTGTTTCTTTTTTTGCTCATGGAAGAACTAAATATTTTAAATCTTTATAATTCTTAAAGAATTAGAAGACATAGAGACTTTGTGGCAGTCATGGCAAGTCCATTTCCATGGGTTGAAAGGCTAGAAAGGTGGGGCCAGTAGGTGGTGTGGTGGTTAAGGCACTGGAATTCCACATGGCCAACCATGGTTCAAGTCCCAGATCCAGAGGCTTGAAAATCACACCAGGCACACGTGCAAACGTGCCTAAGATCCTAGGAGGAAAATGGAGAAGGGATTGCAGCCATCCCCCCTGGGGGGTGATTTATCACTTTCTGTCTCTTTGACAAGTACATGCGCCCTATGACAAAAAAAATCTTAAAAAGTGTTACTAAAACATCATGTTTTGATTTTGCTCAAAACATGGCATAAATATCATATTGTATAGCATGTGCATATGTCTGTTTTATTTATTCTTAGAAATCCCTATTTAAAATGAAGCAACCATCTGAGTGATTTTTCTTTGAATAATGTAGTTATTCTTAGATTCCTGATAAGGGTTCATTTAAAAAAAAATTCCCGTTGTTTCAGCTAGTGGCCTCACATCTCAAGCAGTACTCACACTGCAAGCGAACACTCTGGACTGTCCTCCAGAGGACAAGTCTCTGGGGGAATCTGATGGTGAATTACAGATGCCAATCTTTGCAAAGAAGCGAATGTCTATGTTTTTTTGGCTTGGAGAAAACATTTCTTAGACGTAGTCTCTGGATGTCAAAGTTGTCATTTTGAAGCCCTTTCTATGGGTCAGCACCCTCCCGACAACCTTCTGTGGTTTCTTGATGGGAGCTTGCTTTTTTCTTCTGTCAAAAACACAAATGTGGAACCAGCAGTTAGCGTAATGGCTATGTCGCTGGACTCCCACGTAGTCGACCGTGGTTCGTGTCCCGGACCCGGTGGCTTAAAACTCACGCCGGGCGCGTGTGCGTGCCCAGGATCCCGAAAGGAGAATGGAGGAGAAGGGATTGCGGCGTGACCATCCCCCCTGGGGGGTGATTTCTCGCTTTCTGTCTCTATGTCTCTCTCTGTCTGTCTGGCGAGCGCACGCGCCCTACGGTGAAAATCTCTAAAAAAAAAAAAACACAAACGTGTTTCCTTTTGCTGACTGGGAAGAAGTCGTCATGTTTTCTGTGCTTGTAGGTGTCCCTGCACCCTTTCCTGACCTATAGCCATAAACTTAGATGACTCATTGAGCCTCTGACATGTACTGAATGAACACTAAAACTCATGCTAATTTCCAGCTGAGCTGTGTTCTTAGTGAATAAAGAAACACAGTAAAATACTCTGGGGGCCAGCAGGTGGCGGGGAGGTTAAGGGTGGCTGGATCCCACGTGGCCGATTCCTCATTTTAAATCTCAGACCCAGCGACTGGAAAATCACACTGGGCACGTGCGTGTGGATGCCCCAAATCCTGAGAGAAGGGAAGGGACTGTAGGGTAGCCATTCCTTCGGGACGTGGGGGGCAGAGGGTGATGCTTTCTCCCTCTCCCTCTCTGTCTCTCACTCTCTCCCTCTGGCCAGTGCATGCACACTATAGCAACAAAAAAAAAAAAAAAAAAAAAGGAAAAGGTTTTCTTAAGAGCTTTCAAGAAAAATGTCCAGGATAGATGGAAAGAGGTGACCTAGGTCTTGCAAAGAGAAATGAAGCAGGAGGAACGAGAAAAGGACGGAGCGCGACACTGTGGCGCCGACTGTGCGTGTTAGCCCCACGAACCCTGCTTCCTTCTGTACGCGGACTTGTCGGTGGGCTCGTGGGAGGTTCCGGAGTCCGAGAGGGGGGCCCTCCAGGAGCCGCGCGTGGGCTGAGCTCTAGGTCTCAGACTGCCCTTGGGGAACACCTTTCACAGAAAGCCAGATGCATCCCTTTCCAGAGGGGAGAGGGCATTCAGTCAGAGCTGCGGCTTGGGGGCCAGATGGTGTAGAGACTTAAGGTGCTGGACTCCCACGTGACGACGTCGGTTCAAGTCCCAGACCTGGCAGCTTGAAGATCATACCGGGTGCGTGCGTGCATGTCCAAAGTCCCAAGAGGAGAATGGAGAAGGGATTGTAGTGTGGCCATTTCCCCCACACATACACCAGGAGGTGATTTCTTGCTTTCCCTTTCACTGTCTCTCTGTCTCTTTCCTCTCTGGTGAGTGCACGCACCCTGTGGCAAAAACCTTAATAGCAACAACAAAATCTGAGACCTGTTGTTGCTAAGTTAGGAGCCAGAAGGGCATGGACATCTGACCCTTCACCTTCCACTCTGCTGTCTCCTGTCGCTGCTTAGTCACTGAGTATCCACTGCTGCCGTCTCTCTTCCCTGCAAGCACACGTGCCCTAGGGCAAAAACTGAAAAGGGGAAGAAAAAAAAAAAAAAAAAGAGGACCGAAGACCATGGTTGTGTAAGGAAGAACAAACAGTGTGGCATGGTGAGACCACAGAAGGCTCGAGAAGAAATGATGAGAGATGACTACAAAGCTAAGTTACAGTCAGCAGGTGGCAGTGAGGCGCCGGGCTCCCACCTGGCCACCGAGTCCCAGACCCAGCGGCTTGAAAATTACCCTGGGCTCATGGGCATGCATACCCCAAACCCCAGGAGGAGAGTGGAGAAGGGACTGTGGCATGGCCAAGCCTCTTTGGGGGTGATCTCTCACTCTCACTGTCGTAAGGAGGAAAGAACTAAGGGGTGACTATAGCTCAGAACGAATTAAGGTCAGAGCCATAGAGGAGTGTTCAGAAGTGGGGTGCAAGTTCCCACTTACCGTGTCATCGATGGGGACGTCCTGCCCTGTGCCTGTTGTCCCAGCATAATTATGACCAGGAGGCAGTCCTTTTGGTTCACAGAAGTGTCTGGGTTTGGATGATAAACTTATGCACTCAGGGCCAGCAGGTGGCGGGTGGTTAAGGGTGCTGGACTCCCACATGGCCGACCGCAGTTCAAGTCCTGGACTTGGTGGCTTGTTTTCTCTCTCTCTCTGGTCAAATTCAAATTAATTAATTATTTTTAAAAATTGAGTGCTCACTATACACCAGTATTTCTCAACTTTTCCCCCATTATTGTCCTAATTAGCCTTTTTAAATATTGTTTTCCTAATTATACCCCATCTCCATCCCAGGAAAAAATTTCTAAAGTTTATTTCTGGGGCCAGCAGGTGTTGGTTAAGGCACTGGACTCCCACACGCCTGACTACGGTTCAAGTCCCAGATTTGGCGGCTTGCTTTCTCGCTTTCCCTCTCTGTCTCCCTCTGGTCAAATTAAAAAATAAGAAGAAGTAAAATAAATCGTAAAAAGCTTGTTACTCACGTTAGAGTGTGATAGTGAGAAAGCAGGGGAGAAGCCCCTGGGCAATCTCATCGCCCTGCGACCCTCTCCCTGCCCTCCAGCTCGTCAGGGCCTGGGGCACACACACGCTGATGTCCTTTCCAGCCGTCCCTGGGATGTGCCCGTGGCGGGCCGTGTGGCTTTCAGCACTGCAGTTCGGTCTGCCAGTGACTGCGCCGCAAGCCAGGTCCTGTGACATTCTGATACCAGAGGTACAGTCTACAAAGGGACTTCAGAAATTCCATGGAAAAATAATGGAATTAAAGTAAAAACAAATTGGGACCAGCAGTTAACGTAATGGCTATGTCGCTGGACTCCCATGTAGTAGACCGCGGTTCGAGTCCCAGACCCGGTGGCTTAAACTCATGCTGGGCACGTGTGCGTGCATGCCCAAGATCCCAAGAGAGAATGGAGGAGAAGGGATTGCGGCGTGGCCATCCCCCCTGGGGGGTGATTTCTCACTTTCCGTCTCTGTGTTTCTGGCAAGCGCTCATGCCCCATAGCAAAAAAAAAAACTTTCAGAAAAAAAAAATGTAAACAAGTTTATTTTGGTGCAAAAAAGCTGAAATCCTTATATATGTTTTTCATAATCTGTATTTTCCATGGACTTTTGGAAGACATCCCCCCCTTAAATACATGACTCTATCTTAGGGGGCTGCAAACTATCCTGCCACAAACCACGGAAGAGCTTTTCACCCCCAGGAATCAGTTTGCTTTCGATCTTTGTCATAGGGCGCATGTGCTCCTTGGAAAGAAGTCACTACCCGGGGGAATGGCCACAGCACAGACCCTTC